GAAAAAGAGAGAGAGAATGCAGGGGAAGGGCAGAGAGAGAGGGAGGGAGGGAGAGAATCGCAAGCAGGCTCCACGCTGTCAGTGCAGAGTCCAACACGGGGCTCAAACTCACCAACAGTGAGATCATGACCTGAGCCGAAATCAACAGTCAGATGCTTAACCAATTCAGCCACCTAGGCGCCCCTAATGATAATTTTTTTAACCCTAACCTTCGTATCCTTCCATGGTTCAAGATACCTTCAGGGTTTGTTTTTTGTTTTTTGTCTTTTTTTTTTAAATGCAACTAAATGCTATACCGAGTTCCTTGAAAGCAGAGAGAGAGAGACTAGGGAAAAGAGGGTCGTTTCCATCCCTAGGTTTCAATCTCTGCTCTGCTCTTTATCAGCAGTATGATGTTGGACACCTTAATCTCTCTTTCTGAGCTATGAGTCATCTAAGTGAAGATGTTGAATAGCCAGCAGGAGGGGTGGGGAAGGGCTGGCATCGGAGTAGAAGGAAATCAGGGAGAGTGTGACACACAGAAGCCAAGTGCAGAAAGTGGTTTTAGAAGGAGGGAGTGGTCAACCATGTTGAAAGCTACTGCAAAGATGAGTAAGAAAAGTTTCCATTTTGTCTGTCAACACCGAGGAATGAGGAACATAGCAAGACACAAACCAAACTTCTAAATTGTTGTTGGTCCATCATTTCAAGACCATGGGGTATCTTGAAAGAGAGGGAGGAGAAAGATAGCGTCTTTGATTATGGTCTTGTCTTAAGCGATTTCTTTGCATATTAAACCAAAATAAAACCTGAGAACAAATTCTCATAACTCTAATTCTTTTTTTCTTTTTCACTTTCGGTTATTTCTAGGCTCTCCATTCCCATTTAAGGGAGAATTCCACAGGATGGGAGTAAACTAAACCTAGACTATGTAACTCGGGGCAGGTTCAGAAACATCTCATCTCCACCGTAAGCGCATCTGATAGCCCTGGTTTCTATACTGATGTGCAACAAATCTTTCAAATGCAGCCATTTCATGGTTTGCCTAAATTTAGGCAAACACGATTTCTGAATACTAAGACAAAAACAAATGCCATAATAAGCTTTCCAGCACAAGGGTCTAAATATAGTGTATTTCTTCTCCTGGCTCTATACACACAGGAAAAGCTCTTGGCCCTCAGAGACTGGGTTGATCACAGCCCCATGGAGTGCAGAGATAAGGCTCTCCTCATGTGTGTGATGACTTCTCTGTGTGCGGTTGGCCTGCTTATAAATTGGGAGCACATTTCATCAACTCACGTTCATTACGATGCCCCACCCCCCTTCCACACTGATTTCCAGAGTTCCTCTGCTGGCTCCCCACCTTCCTCCAACCTCTTCCCTTGCCGTCCTCTCTCCCTGGTGATTTCAATGTGCTCAGTTTTAAGTATTTATAGTCTGAATGTTCCAATCTCTCCAGTGAGCTGCTGACTTGTAGACCCCACTGAGTTCTCAATATTGAGTATCTATTTGGCATCCCAAACTTAACACATACAAAACTGGGATTTTTATTTTTCCTTCCGGTATCTCGGCTGTCTCACCAAATGGCCTCACCGTCTACCCAGCTGCTCAAGTCAAAAGCCTGGAATCATTCTGGACACTCCCATCTCCCTCTTCTCCACATTCAATGACCAAAGATCAGGCAGCTCCACCACCCAAACCTGTCTCAAATGGGTCTATTCCTTGCATCTGCCCCCCACCCCCAGGATCTCCTGCATGGATAACTGCGGGTTCTAACCCCTCTCCTTGCCATCCCTCTGCTGCCTGTAACCCCCCCCCCCCCAACTGCCAGAGCAGCACTGAAAACACAAGACAGATCATGACCCTTCCCTGCTGCAGGCACTTGGAGTAAGGCTTGCTGACCTGACTCCTGCCTGCCTCTCTCTGCCCATCTGGCCCCACCATCCCTCCGGCACTAGCATGTCAGGCCCTTTCCTACTTCAAGCCTTCATGGTCCTTAGAGACACCTTCCCTTCGTGCCACTTCTCAGCATAACTAGCTGTGAATATGACAGAGTCCCGCTAAGTCGAAGCTCCATGAGATCAGGGACGCTGTCCATATCAGTCCCACGGGAGGTATAGCCGTCCCACTGGCTGAGTGCAGAGGTGTACAAACAGTGGTGTTGGGTGGGGGACACGGGGCTCCTGGCTCTGGCTTTGGCTCTGGCTCTGGCTCTCCGAAACAATGGATGAGTCAGCGGACCGCAGAGGTTTGCGTGCGAGCTGGGGGGACTTGTCTGTGGGAAGAGTGGCCACGCCCAGGCTGCAGTGCTGCTCAAAAGCACCAGCCAGCCTCCCTGGGGTCGGGCTGGGCCCCATGCATTTCCCTCAGACTTAGCCTCAGTGGACACTCACTGTGGAGTGGGGGTGTTCATTTAAAAACAACAACAACTGAACCATTTCAGGCTGGCCCTGCTGGGGAGGCGGACTGGCCTTCAGGGTCGTCATCAAAAATGAGGGGCTATTGCTGGATGGCTGCCTTCCCACCTGTCAGACTGAGGATTCCACATGCTTGGCTCTAGCAGGATGAAAGCTTCTGTTGTCATAGCAATCGTGGCGTTCCTAGGGCCTAGTCTTCGGGTTTCAGAATAACAACTATTTAGAGAAGTGAAGGAAATGAGCAAAGCAGAGAGGGGCAAAAACGGAAAAAGTGCAAGAAGTAATCCTACAAGTAAGTGCTACAAGTCACACTCTGAAAACAAAACTCAGGAGCTAGGAGTAGAATCTTCCCCAGGCACCGGAGCGGCCTCCTGCTGGGAAGACGGGAAACAAAAGGCCCCATTGACACAAACATCTGTTATTACTAAACACTTAGGAATCAAGTTTTTCCTAAAGGTTGTTGGTTTTTTTTTTTTTTTTGGCTTTTATTATTTATTTATTTATTTATTTACTTATTATTTTGTCAGGTCATCAGACCCCAACCTTGTCTGAGTCCTCAGCCACCACATAAAGTGACTCTTAGAACGTCAAATGAAGAATTTGGTCCTGGAAACGGCCTTGTGTTAGTTTTTTCCTGGCCAGAGACACCAGGAAAATGTCAGAAGGCAAAGCCCTGAAAGACGCAAAACACAACAATCACATCCCTGGGATGGGGAGGGTGGTGGTGACCTAACCCAATTTGATTTAAAAAGGAAACACAGCAGATTTCACAGATGGCCAGGAGGTGGCTGGAAGGAGAGAAGGAAGGAGGTGGCAGGCAGAGGATGAGAAGGTAAAGAGATCACCTGGCGCTTTACCTCAACACCTGCATCTCCTCCGGGGAGTTCCGCACCTCGTCCTGGAGACGACACCAGCGTAGACAAGCCTTCAGCTCCTGCTGCTCCTGGGCCTCGTGGGGGTCCAGCTGCTTGGGCCACAGACACACAAACACATGTGCACAAAACACGGTCACTGTTGTCCTTGTGTGGGTCACAGCCGCCCAAAGCAGCAGCTTGCTCAGTTTCAGGGTGATGGTCTCTCCACCGTGCCTTGTGCCCCACCAGAAAAGTCAGAGGGCAGAGGGGGTCTGGCAGGTCCTCAAAGAGCCAGCTGCTCACTCTTCTGCTGGTGGCAGAGCTGGGCCTGGCTGTTTGGAAGGTGCCCCCTGGTCCTAGACCCACCCTTCACACAACCCTGGCCCCAAAAGAGCAGGCTTCCCTAGGGGGCCATTTCCACTCTGATTCCATCCAGACCTTTCCTGCTTTGTCTTTCTGCACAGGGTGGGGCAGGTCCCCTCCATTTACCTCCTACTTTTCCCAGCCCTCAGTTTTGTTAAGGGCTGTTTACAGTGGAGCCTGCTAATGCAGCCCAGATGATTCTGTCTGCATATAACCAGAAAGAGTGTACTGCCTGGACTGAGTCTGGGGGAGGGGAGCACCATCACTCCCTGCCCTGCTAGTGAGAATCGGGCGGCTGTCACTGGGCTCATGAGGCCCTGCGGCTAAAGTCTCTGTAAGGGAGGGCAGCAGAACATCCACCAGGGAGGGAAATGTCAGTATCAACAGGCATTTCTGGAAACTAAAGAGCCTTAATGGTTCATTCAACAGATATTTACTGAGTCTCTGCCAGGCCCTGGGTACATTACGGACACAGCCTGTACTCCAGGAAGACTGATAAGAACACCAGCCATTAGAGTGCAGTCATGGTAGAGGTTAAGGAAGAATCTAGATGCCCTCTGGCCAGCCAGGTGAGTCAGAAGGCTTTCCTGAGGAGATGCTGGGGCCTGTGCTGATCCCCAGGGACAGGAGGAGTCAGCCAGGGGAGGAGGAAGTTCAGGCAGAGGGAAAGCATGTGCAAGGTTCATGGGGCCTAGAAAGAGTGTGATGTGTTTACAGAATGGTGAAGGATATGGTCAGGCTGGGAGCACGCTATTATTGGGGAGGGACAGAGGTGCCAAGTAGCCAGCAGAGGCCAGATGATCAATAGGTTCTGTGTGCTCTGTTGCTATGGAAAATTCGTATGTTGAAGCCCTAACCCCCAATGTGACTCTGTTTGGAGACGGGACCTTTAAGTAGGTAATTAAGGTCAATGAGGTTATTAGGATGGGCCCTGGTCCAACAGGAATGGGGTCCTTACAAGTAGAGGAAGACACGCCAGAGCTCTCTCTCCACATGTGCAGAGGAGAGGCCATGGAAGGACATAGTGAGAGGTGACCATCACCAAGCTAGGAGAGAAAGGTCTCCCCAAAACTCAAGCCTATCAGCACATTGACCTTGGATTTTTAGCCTCCAGAACTATGAGAAAACAAGTGTTGTTTAAGCCTCCCAGTCTGTGGCATTGTGTTATGGCAGCCTGAGCTAAGACACCTGTGAAGGAGTTTAGATTTTTATCAGGGTTGATGACAAGTTATATGATACAATCTTGCAGCTAACTCAATTCACTTCTCCCTATGGAATGCCACTTTCTATCTCCTCATTCAGTGACTTCCCCCTCCCCACTTTGCCCTGCTTGCTAATGTTCAGTGCTGCACAGCACAGTCATCTGGGCAGCCAAGTGGCCAGTGTGCCTCATGACCTCTTCCCTGGTGACATCCACTGCTGGCCAGGAGAGTCCTGTGAGCTGGTGCACCCTTCCCTGCCCCAAAGAGCCCTCCTCTCATGCTTGGGAGGTCTGCTGCACACACTCAGACCTCCCTTCAAGGAAGGAGCTACAGTGATCCACGTGCTCTGGAAATGTTTCCAAACTTTGTGCTAAAATCCGGAATGGCCACTTTATTTCAGACCAAAGTGTTTTCACATATAGAAGAGTTATTGCCCAGAGAGTAAAGGATGATGAGGTGGGTTGTCTCCTGCGCCAGGTTAAGGGGAAAGGAGGGATAAAGAAACCTCAACTCCAGCTTTCCCTTTGAGGCCCATGTCAGAAGTCACCTCCTCCAAGAAGACTTTCTGGATCAGCTCAGACCTGACCTCTCCCACCTCTGAAGCCATACAATATTCGGTGTTTACCTCTCTCTTCTAACTTATTGTCTACTGTGTGCTTTTCTTATCTTCACAGTTCAACTATGACCTCTTTCAGAGCAGGGTTGTGTCATATCCGTCTTATTATCTCTACAGGTCTAACACAGATGGACACACAGAAGGTATGCAGCTGTGAGATGAGGCCAGACTGGCTTCATGTCTCTGCTAGTGGAGATGGACATATTCAGGGCCGTAAGAGGCAGGACCTATGCAATGAGACTCAGGCGTGATCCCCTGGAACTATGGGCAGGGGCAAAGCCAAAGGAGGAGCGCTTCGTGGGGATGGAGATGATGAACAGAGAGATCATCATTACATGCCTGAAATAAATTTCACACTTATCAAGAATAGCACAAATCTGATTGTCTCAGGACAGAAGCACCTGAGAAAAGGGATGTTGATAGAGGCTCATTGATATTAGCCTATTTAACCCTTGCTAAATGTCTACTGTGCGTCAGATGGTGGAAAATACAAAGAGAAAGAGAGCAGAAAAGGAGAACTGGTATTTCTTGCACAAGCTCCATGTGTCATTCATAATTTTCCCATTCACAGTGCAAATGTTTATTCTTATACCCATTTTCCAAATGAGGAAACTGAGGCTCAGGGAGGCTACATAAATTACGCACACTTACAGAGCTGGTGAACAGCAGAGGTGGGATTCCACACCTGGTCTGACTCCAAACCCAGCCACCTTTCCCAAACCTGCCACGTGGCTGCTCTTCACTGTGTGGCAGGGGACAGAGGGTGCATGCTGCAGGCCAAGGGGCAGAGAGGGTGGGAGGGCGAGTAAGATGTAGCTCCATTCGGGAAGAGGTCACAGTCTAGTTGCGAGGTTTGAGGGAAAAAGAAAAAAGTGAGGGAAAAGAGGCAGGTACCAAATACTGGGGGGAGTTCAAAGCTTCTAGAAGAGTAAGTATTGAATTGGGAGTGGACTGATCGGTCTGGGCTATTCAGAGTAGGTGATCTTGAGCTGGTTAGTGAAAAATAAACAGGATTTCAACAGGCAGAAGGAACTCGAACAAAACCACACAGGTATGCACAAACTTGAAGATTTCAGAAAATGTTAACTAGTCCAGTAAGCGTGTAAGGGGTGGGGATGGCAGGGAAGAGAAGTGATCAAATATTCGGAGCTAAAACATAAGCAGGAACCAGTTTAGCTGCCATATCCTCATTAGCACTGGCATCCAATTCTTTAAAGCAGAGGTTGTAAACTGGGAAAGTGTTGCCCATACCTCTGGGTATGTTTGCTTGGCATAGTATTCTTTAAATTACTAAATTTCACATAAAAATCCAGATTGAGAACTTCCTTTAAACAACTACGAGTCCAGGCTCCCCCGAGCCCTCCCGTCCACACGACGACAATTGGCCCTCACTGATGTGCAGCTCCCAGTTGGCCTGAGTCCTCACCCCTCCCTAACCTATTACACCAGCCGCGTTTCAGTCTTCATTAGTTGCCAGCAGACATCTGAGATGACAGCTCCCGATTTAAATTTTTATCTTATTAGTAAAGAACCAAAACCATACACAGTCAACATCACCACAACCATAACCACAAGGGAGTGCCTGGGTATGCCACAGCCTGACCTGAGCTCCTAGTCTTTGCTCAAATGTCCACTATCAGAGAGCCCTCTAGTGCCTTCTAAAACTCAGCTTCCCACCACGCTCTCCGGCTTCATCTGCCTTCCAGTCCTCACCACCTGACGTGTTACAGATGTGCTTGTCTGTTTCCCCATTCTCTCTCCTACCCCTGCATTGAGAACCCCCAGGGCTCAGGGACTTTTCTCTGTTTACACAGCTCTCTCCCCAGCAAGCAGCACAGTCCTGGTGCACAATAAGCCCTCTACATATCTGTTGAATGAACAGATGCCTGTGAAGAGAATCTGACTCTGGGTGGGGAAATGCTTAGGGTCACTGTAAACCTACCTGCTGTGCTTTGGCCCAGAACACATCTTCCAAGTGAGTGGCGAACCCTTCGCTCAGCCACTCCTCCGTCCAGTCCCGGGCCCCGATGGCTAGCCCAAACCAGGCGTGAGCAATTTCATGGCAGAGACGGGTCCCACAGAGATGGCTGTTTCCCGTCAAGACGCTCTGAGAGAGGAAGATGATGTGTGGGCTGTGGATAATGGGGGAGAAAACACACGGAGTCTTGTTAGAGCCTGCCCTCGTGGTTGCCCCATGGGGCGGCTTTCTCAGCCTGGTGAGCCTGTTATTATCATGTGCATGCCAGATCATGACAGATAGGCTTGCAGCTTAGATGCTTTCAGAAACAAATAAAGTGGCAGTTTACGTTTCTGGCAGCGGTTCAGGTGGCCGTTTGTGCCAAGCAGTCGTCTCCGTCACCCAACGGCTATTACCTGTAATGAGTAACCTGCACCAAAGTTTTATGCCGAAGAAATTACAAGGCAATGGAAGCATTTACTCTGAAATCTGGACTGTAAAAGAAGAGCAGGTGTGAGACTGTGAAGCCCATGCTGTCAAGAGAGTGATCAAAGAAGCCCCTTCAGCCAAAAATCCGAGCAGCTTACACGCAAATTGAGAAGTCATGCAGAAGGACAGGAAAGGCCGAGAAGAATGGAACCAAAAATTTTCCATTTCGGACTGGGGCTGGTTACGGAGTTAACACACTAACAGGTGCCGTGGATGGGTGAGGTTTCTGAGAGACTCAGATGAAGGCCCAGTCTCTGTAAGGCCAAGATTTTCAAAGGTATCATCTCCTATCTATAGCTGCTTATACATTCACATGACATAACAAAATTAGGCAGGGGGTGGGGGGAGCCAACACACCCAGGTGTGCAAATGGCCCCAGGGCTGGCCCCAGCTGGGGAGATTTATCTAATCTCATTTTCCATACCTTGTTTTAAAACCCCAAATACCATGATTAGATTGCATAGACAAATGGGAGGAAGGGAGGCTGAAAAAAAGAAGAGGCAGATAGAAAACCTCCTCTGCTTCCACCTTCCACATTTTTCATTTATCCAGGAGTTGTTTACACTTTTATTAATGAAGAATTTGCCTTAAAAAAAAAAAAAATCCCTCCTCCTTCATTTGAACAAGAACAGTTGGGAAACCTCCCAAATTAAGAAACTGTACACACGGGTTCCCTCCTTCAAAAGCCATTTGTTTGCTACCACGCCGGCTCTGCACAAGCCGGGACTGCTCGCAGATTTGTCCTCCGCCCCCACGGCCACCAGTAGAGAAAACCCCACCTGTATTTCCCTTGCACAACATCGCCCATTCAGCTCGGAGAGCTCCACTGAAATCGTAGGAGCCACGTGTGCCAAAATAGACAGCTTTCATGTGAAATAATAACAGGGCAAGCACACAAATGAAGTGTCTGCCAGGCCCTCGGCAGAGTCCACCAGAAACCCCAGGAATTAAAACGTGTGGTCGGGGCATTTAGGATGCGGCGGGTGGGGGAGGGGGGCAATGCAGCAGCCACCAGCAGTAGTTCAGAGGGCAAAGTCAGAAAACAAAAAAGGAAGGCAGGGAAGAAGGGAGGACGGGAGGGCCGATGGAAGCAAGGGAGGAAGGAACTGTCAGGCACAGGAGCTAACCTTCTTACTGAGAAAGTCACCCCATAGAGAAGACAAACTGTGAAACCTGGCATTTTCGAGTAAATGACCGCTTGCTCTGGCATGTGCAGCGCTACAAAGGAAAGCCACAGAAATGTACCAAGTAAATAACATTCCAGACATACTGCTGGCAGCGCTTGGCCCTTTTGGCTAAAACAAAACAGAAGTAACTGCAGGCCTTGTAAACAGGCTCAAAGAGGAGTCTGCATCGGAAGGGTCTGCTGGCCAGAGACACAGACGGTGCGCACGTAGTTACAGAGACTGGACGACTGACCCGTCCACTCAACCCACGAAGGTTACACAAGCTGATGACTGTGAAGTCACGGCCAGACTGTCCACAAAGAAAACGCCTGCCCCGTCCTCGGTGATGGCTCGCTGTTCTGTCCCAACGTGGAAGTCCAGCCAAGGCCCATTTATGCAAATATCAAAGTCTAGAGGGCCTGAAGGAATGCACAAAAGCAGCTGCGTGGGGGGTGAGGGGTGGCTGTGCGCTTTCCTGCCCTTTAATCTTTTCCCTCCAACGGCCTTTGTTGTCTCCGCCAGACCTCCCTCCCCACCTGCCAGTGCTCTGGAGACTCCACCCGGCCTGGCCTCCGTGCGTCTTGGCCGGGCTCAGGACGGGACCGGCGTGGCTGGAATCCTACGTTCCCACTTCCCATCCCCAGGCCCTTCTTCCTAGCCAGGAATATATGGATTTCCTACTGTCTTCGGAGAAAGATCAAAGCTTAAACATCCTCCTGGGTCGGAAGGAAGGGTGTTTCATTTGATATAAGTGACCCTATTATCAGTGGAAAACATGACCTTCTCCCTGAAAAGCAATTTTCCAGTTGAGAACCAGACCCCAAATCCTCCTGCAGTGGAGTCTGCACTCTGGAGCTTGGCTTTTTACCTGTGGGCGACTCGGGGGTGGTATTTCCCTATGAAGAAAATGGCTTCTTTCTTAAAACTAAATTAAAAACATGGATTAAAAATGGAGTAAGGTTTTGATAATCTTTCTCAAGGGTTATTAACAAAATTCTGACACAAAAGGACCAATAGAATTTACTTTTAAGGAGAATTTCCTCCCATCGACCCTAAATGTCAGAATTGCTCATGTTACGTACGATTTTTACCGTTGTTTTTTTTTCAACAGTGAGTGAGGAAAAGTATAATGCTCTTAAACTCACTTTAAGGAGTAATATTACATACTCCTTTACCGGCAGATAATCTACTTCCTGCCCACCTTCAAAACAGGATGGATGTTTAGAATTTTCTACTTCTACCTTAACCTTGATTTATAAGTTTCACCCCTGGGCTCCTCACACATTCCCGCATTCTCAGAACCTTATTCATGGTCCTAATCAGCCAGTGGGTCATCCGTCTTCTCTCTGACAAGGCCCATTTGAAAACAGGTTGTCTTGTTTCCCCCTAAAAGGGCCTGTGTCAGCTGCCTCTACAATATGCCAAATTGTCGATTCATCACTGCAAAGGATGAAGATAATCACTTCAATGATATCTTCATCCTAAAAACTGTTTTCTTTTTAAATTCACAGAGTTTATCACTTTTCCCAAATAAGAGATGGGCAGAAAAGTAATACTTCCAACTCTCAAAAAGCAGAAGCCTCCTGGGTTGTATCATAAATTCTTCCTTGCTACAAGTGGTCGGAGGAGGACAGGGGGCAGAGGAGGGGGGCGGCACAGAGCGACAGCAGGACACGTGTTCCTATTCTTTCCCAGGAGACCACCAGCGGGGCTGCTCCCGACAGAGGCCACGTGGTGGTGGATGTCTGCTGCCTTGCCCCTCGAGATTAAAAATATCATTTCTGGCCTGAAAACAGCTTCCCAGGACTGTTCCTAAAAGCTACCTCTCCATCCAGATTAGAAGGCTGTGTCTGTTAATGTAAAACATGCTTCTAGCAGAGGAGGAAGGAGTGCCTTCATTACTCTCAAGAGCTGCTCCAATCCTTCGGGAGGAATTCAATTTGGAACGGAAATGGAGAATTTCATCAGATCTTAAGCAGGGGCTGGTGTGTGATTTATTTCTGCTTTGTCCAGGGAGACGTGACCAGCTTGGCCCATCTTGCTGCCCAGGGAGAGGTACAGCATTTAGGGGCTCCAGCTCCACGTTGCCGCCCAGCGGGTCAGAGCAGGCTGCGGGTGGGACCGGGACAGGAAATGGCTTTTGGTTAAGGCCACCCCTCCCATCATACTGGAGCTGATCCCAATTCCCCCGGGGTGGGGGGGTGGGGGGAGGAGGAGCAGATTCACTTTTTCTACAGATCCTTGGGAGGGGCATCCAGGAAACAGATTTACACTCTTCGAGCTTGAACTTCTTAGCGGTTCAGTTTTTCACAATCTCAACAATACGTGGACTCCAATGTCCCATTATGGGGAGGAAGAGGCTCTTTTCCCTGCCAAGTCAACCTGGATAGTTTTAAGGGTCTCATAATCATGTGAAAGCAGCTTTTGCTTGCATGACTTAATTACTTGCTAATTTAATTTGGACAGCTAAAAGTAAATTCGTAGTAGCCTGGGGCAATCTGCAAGGGAGACCAAATCTTAGTTACCACTCCCTAAGATTCAGAATGTGTTTTCTCTTTCATCCTTAAGGTTAGCATGATACATGTCAAGCACTTCAACCAATGTGTTTACAAACAAAAATGCTCAATCTGGAGCCCCTCTTCTCTGCAATGAAATCCTGTAGTCCCTATCTCTGGCATGCAGTCTGATGTAGGGGAGGCATCTGTGGTCCCAAAAGCAAAGGGGTGGCCCAGATGACCTGGAGAGCCCCTGCTCCCATCTGGCTCCGAGACTGCTCAGTAGGAACTAGTTATGCTTCATTTGCCCCATCTGGCATCCCACTGTGGTCACACAAGGTAGTCTTTACACTGGAGCTGTAGGAGATGAGGGAATGTTCTTTCAGGGATATGGCACTTTCAGGAGCTTGAGGTAGAAACCAGCTCTAAAACCTTGAAGAAAACCTACTACATCTGATCAACACTGAGATCTAGGTTTGGGAGAAAAGGCTAACATTAGCATAAGTTTTCCTTTAAAAATTCTGAATAGCAAACAGGTGGCAAAACATCTACTCATTTTCCTAAATGAATTCAGGTTTTTAAGGTTTTATTTATTTATTTTGAGAGAGAGAGGGAGAGGGAGAGAGAAAGAATCCTAAGCAGACTCTGCTGTCAGCGCAGAGCCTGATATGGGGCTCGAACTTATGAACTGTGAGATCATGAAATGAGCCAAAACCAAGAGTCAGACGCTCAACCAACTGAGCCACCCAGGCACCCCTACCTAAATGGATTTTGGCTGAAACTACCAACATAACTACAGCAGAGAGTGACTAAGAGAATCCCCAGGCCACATTCCAGAGGCTTCTACCAAAAGCAAATCTTCCTTCTAAAGATTCATATTGCTTGAGTGCTTGCTATGTGCTGGGCACTATATGATATATATATATATCATCTCATCTGATCTATCTCATGACCTCAGGAGATAGATTTTATTATTATCCCCATTTTACAGATTCTAAAAGTGAGGTAGAAAAAGGTAAAGTGAC